GGGGGCCCCGGGCTTCACCGGCCTGCGGCAGGCAGGTGGCCCAGCCAGGGGTGCCTCCATCTTGTGCCCCCCTGAGCGAGCTCCAGCCTGCAGACCCCGTGCACCCTTCCTTTCTCCTAAAGGGCACGGCCAATGCATGCACCCAAGGAGGGAGCCGCAGACACCCCATAGTGGCTGCCCAAACTTGGGAGTACTTTGGGAGCAAAATTCTCAGGATTTTTCCTCAAAAGACTTGGAAAACCTAAGTGAGCGCACTCTGAGGACATGTCAGCCACCCTACCCAAGGGCGCCTCACGGCACCTCCAGAGCACAAACGCAGCCCCTCAACCACAAGCAGTCAAACTCTAAGCCATAAAATAGTCAAATTTGGTACTTTACCTGCATTGCAAGCAAGGGGGTACGTTGTTATCCTTCCACCGGAGATTAAAAGATCTGGGATTATGTTTTGCGGGGTGTTGGCCATGGGGGGCTGCAGGGAGACCTCCTCTGTGGGAGGGCATCGGGGCCGCCCTTTGCCGCCCACAACCGGTCACAGCCGGTTCCCCAGGGGACCCACCATGCGCCAAAACTCAACCTGCCACAGGCGCTTCCTGAGACTGCTGAGGAAACTTATTTAAGAAATGGTGGTAAAAGCCCAAAACAATGCCAGGGCAGGAGGAGAGAGGGGAGACGTGGAGGAGAAGGTGCAGCAGCACACTGACCCAGCCTCCTGTGCTGCCATCACCTCAGCCTGCCCTGAGGGGGTGGGAGACCAGGAGGTGGCAGGGTGGCAGCAGGGAGTGTGGGGGGGTGGGAGGTGTTTTTCGTCGACAATAAATTAACTTCAAACTCCCCCACTTTTAACATATAAAATACAGGAAAAATCCTGACTTCACTCACAGCGTGGTCTCATCCAGCCTGTCACGGAGGGAGAGCCACGTTATCTAGTGCCACACTGAACGGACATCAACTTTTGAAGTACAGTCCAGCTGAATAAATACCACAGAAAGTCAATAGCCAAATCCTTTCAGCAGCAGCAGTGCTCTGGGAACCTGATTGGAATTTGAACATTTGCATTGATTTATATTTTTTTTTTTTGACGTTACCAGCTTGGAGCAAGCACTGAAGAGGAGGTACACGGATGGCTCCGCAGGAACATGAATGGCTAGCGAAGGATTACCTTTTAAAGGATTATCTTTTAAACAAAGAAAAATTTGGTATACTGCAAACAACTAACTCGAATCAAAAGGAACAGATTAATCCAACAGGATTACCAGGTAAGGCTTCCCTGTACTTTAATGTCCAGACATAGAGCTGAGAAACATGAACTGTTTTATTTAGACACCCGGGTGCATTGTCAAGCACCTTTTCATGGTCCACAAATAAAGGAGGCCTGTTCAGTTAAGGCTGTTAAAACAAAAGCTTTGACGACTTATCCTCAAGCTTCACAAGCAACAGAGATCTTCTGCCTTTTTACAGAGCCCTTTCCTTTACCCTTGCATATGTAAGCTCTGATCATCAAGTCCTTTTAACTCCAGCCAGGAAGGAAGATTAGTCCCTGCCTGTACAGCTCCTGCACTGTGAAATTTCCAGAACTGAGCTCTTTTACTTCCCTCTGGGAGGCAGGGGAAGTCACAGAAAACTGACATCAAGCTCTTCGTGAGGTTTTTTTCCTGAATCGTTAACACTCGTGTAAGCTCTTACGGCCATGGTACAACAGTATGACAAAAAGCAAAATAGCATCGATCTACAGCACCCACACATTTGGAAACAATACCCACTATGTGCACTTGTGCCTCTCTCTCTTACTAATATACATGTTGGTAGCATCTCTTACATGCACCAAAGATTTGTATTGACATCTACTCAAGTATTCTGGCAAGCAGAATGAGGTAAGCAACCAAGTTTTTAAAAAAAAGTGCAAAGATAAAACCTCATTAATTTACTAACAGGAGTTTTAACCATGTTTTAATGATTTAACTTTTTTTAAAAAACTATTTATTTAACACGCATTCAAGGTTCCCTTGAAGTAAATTAAATAAAAATCCTAAATACTTAAACACAACATAACATAAGGCAGTTCAGTTTCTTTATGTTTTGGTTAGTCCCATATACAGGTCCAGCCCTAGTCCAATCCAGCGGGGAAACCAGATTCAGCAGCAGTCACAAACCCTGACTCTTCATGATATGAAACATTATTGACTTTGGTGAGTTTTCCCATCTAATAATTTCACTTTTCTACCTTTTGAACTTATCATATATTGTTTTATAACCAATGAAACACTGCATTTGCTCAGCATATATTTCACATTTATTTAAGAATAAATACAGCATTAAGAAAAGACTCACCTCCTCCACCTCCAAGAAGGCTGGAATTAGCTGCAAGAAGAACAGAAGGAAAATCATTAGCATTGAGCTTCCTAAATATAGATGGAACCAAAACAGATGCTTCACGAGATTTTCCATTGTTTCAATAACTTTCAGTAACAGCTACTCTCCACTTACCCAAAAACATTTACTGCAAAAACAATCATTTATGTAAATTGTAATTGCAATCTTTACCTTTGCACTATTTTGCAATATCTTTGAACGTGTAAGCTAATAAATAAAACAGTAATACAATTATTAAAGCTTAATGTTGAGTAGCTTATGAAATTACAATCTTTAATTTATAATTCTACCACATTCCTTTTTGATTACCAAATGAAGTAAAAGTCTTTCATTTTAGAGAAACTTAAATAGACTTTGATGCAACTTTTGATTAGCTCTCCTTGTTTTCTATGACATGGGAACTTTGGGGATGATGATGAGAAACCTTGGCCCCACTGATATGAAAGGGTGTTTCACCATTGTATGCAATTAAGTTGGGATTTCACTCAGTATGCTTAATTGCCTCTGTATGGTAACCATCAAGCTACCCATGCCAGAAATGGATAAATCACTTATGGAAAGCAATTTTCAGAGCATGGTGATATAAGACGGTCCTTCAAATTAAGCTAGCACAACTGGAGCCGTGCCAAATATCTTCCTTTCACTGCCTAGGCAAAACCAGAAGGAAAGCCTAGGCTTCTAAGCCTGCCTTGAGTAAAGTATTCACCCTTTAGATGTGTGGGAAGCAAATCCCTGTCCTATCGTAACATAGATAAAACACAGTATAAAAGCAAGAGTATAAGGGATGGATGCAGGTATTTCTTACTGCTTGCTGATGAGTAAAGGAGAAGCAAGACATCAAACCATTTCCTGCTCCAGGACAAGGGGAGATGGCAAGATACACAGAATAAATTAGGTATTTTCCAGTATCCAAACTTTCTACTGTTATACGTTATTGTTTCTATGATTTCCCTCTCCTTCTTCCATAGAAGAATGTAAACAGCAAACGCCCTGCTGTTGGTTTTTTCCATCATTTTCTTGAGACTCACAAAAAATCGACAGTTATCTTCTTCGTCTTCCTCATTTCTTTTTCAGATACTCTACAAACTTCTTTGACTTAACATCCACTTTCAGCTCAACCATTTGCAGCCAGCTTTCCCTGACACTGCAGTGAAACTGTCTTCATTGAAAATCTAAATTTTCCATCAAAGTAGCATACCCAAGATCTCTGATTTATAAAGCAACATATACCATTAATACTATTATCTTACAGTGACTCAAGAAGTAGCTTTATATGATTCAAAATGCAATGCTCTTTAAAGAAATAAATATGCAGCTTTATATCCAGCTTAGCTGACAAAATCAAATCAAAATAAACTGCAAACTACAGGGACAGTTATCCATCCTAGGACTACACTGATTGAGTGAGTTAATTGTTGAGACCAAGACCTAGAGGGACGTTCTCGTGCATCTTTCTGATCCAAGTCTGGTTCTAATACTCTGGAAGATTAGATGGAGAAAACCGGAGCAAATAATCTTTCTTTCTAAAACAAAGCCATTTGTAGCCATTTCCAAAGAAGTGCCTGGCTTCCTTTTTGCTGTCTGGATTCTTCCTTCAGATGCAACTCCGCAAACCAGCTGAAAACCATCCACTATTCCTTTTCGTTCAGATTTCTGACATGTCACTGAGGTGAACTGGCTCATGGAGAGATACACAAGTGGCAGAACAGTGTGGCTAGGAAAGAGAAGATGGGGCAACACAGTTTGGAGACGACAGTGCAAATCCTCCCTTTTGGCTGTCACATACTGTTATATTAGCTCAAGATCCTTAACTTTCATGCATCTATATCCCATGAATCAACTATGTTGCTAGGACATCACTGTCACAGTTAATTTGCTTTTACATAGCATAACAAGACCGCTTTAGACTCTTGGCTATCCTTCATAAAGTGCTAGCAGGGAACATATATAAATTGGCTTTGAAAAAGATATAATGATAGCAATAATAAATGTGTGCAGACATATTGCAAAGAGTTCCACCGAACTTCAATCTTTCTATATTTACCTGCTCTTGCCCTCACTGAAATTCACTATAAAAGACAGACATAAATTAAAGACGGCCCTACATATTTCTACAGCAGCTTCCAAAGGACTCCTGTAACAGGTAACATCACCTTCCCTGCAGTAAAACAAGTATCTGAGACAAAAAATTCAGCATACCTTGTACCAGAAGAAAATAAAAGTAACAATCTGTCATCTACTGCTATAAGTCCGCTATTCAAGATTATTCCTTTTGGCACTGTAGAATGCACCTGCAATTACTATTCTAGTTCTTGAATGAGTCAAATTCTAGGATTTCAGTTATTACGTTTGAGAGACTTAAGAGACACAGCTAAGACCTGCTATACCTCACTGCAACCAAAGTTTCCACTGCTAAAAAAGTTTCTTCTGATACACAGCCAACATCCACTTTGCAAACTCTCATTCGTTGGCTTCTCAGAGAATTATGTTTCTCTCATTAACTTTTCCTGACAATGTTCATCTTTCCAATACTTTCTAAAATTTGTTAATAACATATAGTATAACTCAGCATCACACACTTCTCCATAGAAACAGCAAAAACAGTTCAAACAGATTTTTGGCTGCAATGCATCTATTACAGCCATTGAAATTGCAGTAATAATTCATAGGCACTTTTTTTTTTAAGCATTATGCTTGACTATTAGGAGGAAAATCAAACCATTTTCCTATGGTGCCAGGAAAGAACATGACAGAATTATATTTACAGCATCCTTTCCAGAAAGATAATGTGTCACTCAAAATGCAAGAACTTTTATTTTCAGATTTTTTGGGTTGTACCCGAAAAGTGCGATAAAATACACCTTTCTTTGCATTTTTAGGAAAGCCTTACCACTAAAGAAGTAACTTGTCACCACCTAAAGAGTACCTTCCCCCAGCCAGAGCTGAGGATTTTCGCTTGGATTCAGAGAGGAGGTCAGCACAGCCCCATGGCTGTAATCACATCATATTATGTTGGAGCAAGTATTGCCTCTCTTCTTAGTCCCCCAGTGCTAACCTACAGCTGCATTTTGTCTGTCAGTGCTCCCAAATGATCAAGTCTTGCAAAACACTTTGAAAGGGGCTCCTGCTGCAGAGCTTCAGCCTTGGGTAGGCATGAGCAACCAGCGGTGGGACCCTGGGAGCTTTCACCCTCCAAAAGTGATGAAGTCCCAATTGCTCCCCAGGTTGCACCACTGCACCGCGTGCACATACAACTCCCCCGCCTCACGGAGGGCGTGCCCAGCCTTAGGTAGCACACGTTACAGCATTTGTAGACAACTAGTAAAGCCATCTTGACTAACCTCTTGTCCTTATTTTGCTATTCCGGAGCTGAACAAGATTCTCAAGTCAGAGGAGAGTTGGGGTGCAGGAAAGAGGAAGACTGAATTGCTACCAAGTTACCAAGACAAAGAACGGTAAAAGAAAACAAACAAACATAAGAGGGGCTCCAGAGAAATGTGAGGTAAAGACTTCTTCCACCTCATTTTATTCCCCACGCTACCCTTTCAAGTTGACCTGCCCAACCTTCCTAAAATTGCCTTCTTACAAACTACGGTCTACAACAGAGTCCTGGGCATTAATTCTGAAAATCCACTCATGATACAAACCTTGCAATCTTATTTTAATATGTACTCATTTATACTAAGAGGAGTGATGACACAGAGTGGTCAGGCAGCCAGCAGACTACGTACTTCCTTGTCAGGCTGAACTATAACACACATTGTAAAGCCCCATCCAAAACACCTCACTTAGCGATGGCCCGCAAGCGGCAGCAGAGGTGAGAGCTCATCTACTTTTAAATATTTTTGCCTGCACCAGTAACACAGGCTTCAATAAAAAATAATAATAACCTCCCCCCGGCCATATCTGGGGACCAGTTCCTGTGGTGTACTTTAAATAGCGGCTTCAGGGTGAGACAAATCACAGCGCAGGAGATGCTGCACATCGCCACTACTTTAAAAGGAGTCTTGAACTCTGCATTTTGAGAGACAGATCTCACCTTCACAGTCTGTCTCAGAACAGCAAACAGAAATACATCCAAAAGTAGCAATATGGCTTTCAGCCCCTTAGTTCTAGATTTCTTTTTATTAGGTACATTAGAAGCATTAGCAGTTAAAAAGTGTTCCTACAAAGTTCAGGCTCATCTCTAAGAAAAAATCCACTCTAAAAAAAAAAATCCACTTAAAAGAAAAAACAGTCTCTAATCACTGAGTATAACGATTCAGCCCTTAATGAGATGTTTATGACCCCAGATTCAACCAGAAATTCATTATTTCAAACAATTCGGCACCTCAACAGGCTAAGCTTTTACGCTTTTCAACATAGAGGAGCAGCACCAGGACAGCGCTACTAAACAAACTCCATGAACGCTGATCTGGCCTACCCAGAAAACTCCACTCTTGCTCTAAGAAATACAATTCCTTTCAAAACACTTCTGTGGGGAGAGAGGAAAAAAGGAAAAGAAAAGAAAAATGAAAGACCTGGGAGGAAAGAATTTGAAATAAGCTTAGTTTCTCATTATGGAATACCCACAATGAAATCTCAGATTACTAAAATGTACAAATTTAAATAATGAATATACCAGCATATTTGACAAATAAGAACTGGACATGAATGTTTTAAACCTCAGTCTTCTTAATGAGTTAAGTCATATAGCTTTCCAACACTTTTTTGACGGAATAAGCAGACCAGAAACTCTGGCACAAGTCTTAACGTTTTCCTCAATGTTCTCCTTACCACAGCGTTCTTGCCAAGAAGTAGGATTATTTGAAATTTTGTGGAAAGCAATGAATGCTGAAGAAGTTCACCTCAAATGAAACTAAAGATCCTTCTGTGCTGTAAGCCAAAAGGTATAAAAAGTGAAAAAGGATGTATATATGGGTTGCTTAAACAGACATTTGCAGACAAGGAATTGTTTTTTCTGCTGTCAGTTCTGTGGAATTTAGAAA